ACCCCGCCTGTGTTTTGGTAAAACGCTGAGGGATGGGCCTGGGGTAATGTAAACATTCTCAAATTCATAGACAGCACTATGGATGCAAGGACTGACCATCCATGATATCAAAATTATAGTAGTCATAAATAGTTAACCATGTTTTGAGGCTATGCAGTGTTTGTTTACGTTTACATTGTTTACAAACATTGGAGTAAAACAAGCTTGCATTTTGGGTTCTTATGGGGTTATATTCTTCAAGAATCAATGGGATCAATGGGTATTCAACATTAATTTATACAGTGCATTTGTAAAGTATTCAGGCCCCTTCACTTTTTCCATATTTTTTTACATTACAGCCTTATTCTAAAATGGATTAAATAAATAAAAATCCTCAAATTTACACACAATACCTCATAATGACGACGTGAAAACAGGTTTTTAGAAATGTTGGCACATTTATTAAAAATAAATACCTTATTTACATAAGTATTCAGACCATTTGCTATGAGACTCGAAATTGAGCTCAGGTGCATCCTGTTTCCATTGGTCATCCTTGAGATATTTCTACAACTTGATTGGAGTCCACCTGTGATAAATTCAATTGATTGGACATGATTTGGAAAAGCACACACCTGCCTTTATAAAAGGTCCCACAGTTGAGCAAAAACCAAGCCATGAGGTCAAATTATCTGTAGAGCTCCGAGACAGGATTGTGTCAAGGCACAGATCTGGGGAAGGGTACCAAAACATTTCTGCAGCAGCATTGACGGTCCCCAAGAATACAGTGGCCTCCATCATTCTTAAATGGAAGAAGTTTGGAACCACCAAGACTCTTCCTAGAGCTGGCCGCCCGGCCAAACTGAGCAATCAGCGGACAAGGGCCTTGGTCAGGGAGGTCACTCTGACAGAGCTCCCAGAGTTCCTCTGTGAAGATGGGAGAACCTTCCAGAAGGTCAACCATCTCTGCAGCACTCCACCAATCCATTTTTTTTTTGGTAGAGTGGCCAGACGGAAGCCACTCCTCAATAAAAGGCACATGACAGCCTGCTTGGAGTTTGCCAAAAGGCACCTAAAGGACTCTCAGACCATGAGGAACAAGATCATCTGGTATGATGAAACCAAGATTGAACTCTTGGTCTGAATGCCAAGCATCACGTCTGGAGGAAACCTGGCACCATCCCTAAGGTTAATCATGGTGGTGGCAGAATCATGCTGTGGGGATGTTTTTCAGCGGCAGGGACTGAGAGACTAGTGAGGATCGAGGGAATGATGAACGGAGCAAAGTACAGAGAGATCCCTGATGAAAACCTGCTCCAGAGCACTCAGGACCTCAGACTGGGGTGAAGATTCACCTTCCAACAGGACAACAACCCTAAGCACACAGACAAGAAAGGAGTGGCTTTGGGACGAGTCTGAAAAATATACTTTAGGAGCAATTGCTAGATGTCCACTTTTGGCCATCTATCGAAGTCTTGGTAGCATCCCCTCAGTAGCAGCCCAAAAAACTACAGATGGATCTGTGGCTGTGGGTGCTGGTTCTCATAGGCAAGAAATAATTTTGGTGAAGACCTCCTTTTTCCTGATCATTCACACTGGGATGGACTCTCCTTCTGGAGGCCTTGGGTGTCTCTCCATCGGGACTTGACCCATTTTGTACTTGGTCCACTGGGGCTTGGACTGGTGCTTGCACTGCGGAAGGGTCTTCTGGGCTCATTGTGCGTTTCATCGTCTTCCTGAAAAGCAAAACAAACTACGTTTGTTTGAGGATTTTTGTTGTTGTTGCCACAGTCATCTTATAACAGTAGTTTAATCACATTATCTAAATCAGTGTTTCTCAATAAATTCCAAGAGTCCTTCCAAGGGTCGGATTTAAATAAGTTGTAAGCAAAAAAGCTAGCTTTCTGTCTATCTCTCTCCCTCTCTCTCTCTCGCTTCTCCTTCATTTTGGAAGGAATTTGTTAACTGTTCAACTATTGTATTTCTCTCTCCTTGAGTCAACTACTCATCACATTTTATGCACTGCTGTGCTAGCTAGCTGTAGCTTGTGCTTTCAGTACTAGATTTATTCTCTGATCCTTTGATTGGGTGGACAACATGTCAGTTCATGCTACAAGAGCTCTGATAGGTTGGAGGATGTCCTCTGCAAGCTGTCATAATTACTGTGTAAGTCTATGGAAGGGGGTGAGAACCATGAGCCTCCTAGGTTTTGTATTGAAGTCAATGTACGCAGAGGAGGACAGAAGCTAGCTGTCCTCTGGCTAAACAATGGTGCTATAACCTACAGAGTGCTGCTGAGGCTACTATAGACCTTCATCGCAAAACAGTGTGTTTTAATCAATTATTTGGTACGTGAATAACTTTAGTATCATTTTATCTAAAAAGGATAACTTTTTTTATGTTTTACTATTTATAAAAAAAAAAAAATTAAATCACTGAGGATGGTCCTCTCCTTCCTCCTCTGAGGAGCCTCCTCTGATACACACAAACACACACACAAAAACACACATTAGTTGGAGAGGCTGGATCAGCAGCCAAATTAACATACATATGGGGTTTGCTTGGTTAGATAAATCTGCCTGTTATTTAACAAGCTTCAGCAAGTTTTCAAGCTTATTAGTCTTTACATTAGACCAAATTATGTAGATGTTGGAGAATGTCAAAAAATGTCACTACTTTTGCCCACTTTAAACTGAATTGGAGTGTGTGTCTGGTTTCTTTCTTTGTCTGCTAAGAAAACTTTAGGAGGCAGGGCACAACCTGGTTGCAAACAAACAACTGTATGAGACTGGGGGGTAAACCATGGCCGCATGTTAACACATCTCAACATCTGGATCTGGCTAACCAGGCCATGGTATAGGGTAAACTGTTGCTAGCAAAGGTAGCTACCTTCATAAGAAGCCTGTTTTGTGCCGTTTTGGTTGCTCTGATTAAATCAAATTAAACATCAACCAATGTGTTACAGTTTCGCTTAGTTTTGGTTATCCCAAGAGTTTATACTGCAGTTGACAAGCAGCTACGTTAGCAACGTGATCGCAAGGTTTTTTCTTTTTTTAGTTATTCTAGCTAGCTAGCAAACGTTACGCCCTATCCTGCATTCCACTAATTCGTGTCGCGAGTGATCAAAGTATGACAGTTAAAACTTACCGTTGACAGTGGTGGTACAGTGGCATCGCCCCACGTTGTGTTTGATAAGGTGTGATATCAAAGACAACTCCTTTCTTAGAGTTAGTTAACATGACTTCTCAGTGATCACTACAGTCTCTTGCTTCTTCTGCCAGCAAAGACCGTCAACGCAACGGCCATTAATGAGGTCAGGTTTTCCTTTGTGATTGGCTGGAAGGGAGTTAGATTTATCATTGCTCTTCTACTTTTCCTGGCTGGCAAAGTACCAGGATGTTGTTGAGAGCAGTTTGAAAACTGAATTTGAAAACTGAATCTGAATCCATCTGAGAAATTGAACATATGAATCTTTAGTAGACTTGAAATGATATTTTGTAAACTTGATACACATAAAATGAATGCAACTGAATATTTACATTTTGAATTTGAATATTTAATTACATTGAAATTGAATTTTAAAACTGAATGCAATATTCGTTCAATTTAGGAATGTAATGATTCAATTTGTGCATTACGAATTCAAAGATATTAAATTCAATATCCTAACACAAATTCTAAATTATACAATTCTAATACAATTCTGTTGTCACTGAAATTGCTCCACACACTCCATACGCCTCCCTATTCATGTTGAATGAATTAGTCTGTGAATTTGAACTAAGAAAGCTGCTAAATCGTTCATTTTATATATTGCATACATCTTGCCTAGGTTACTGTAGGCCAGGGTTCTTCAATTCCGGTCCTGGAGGGCCGAAACACTTCTGTTTTTTATTTCTACCTGGTAGTTAATTGCACTCACCTGGTGTCCCAGGTCTGAATTAGCCCCTGATTAGAAGGAGAGGATGAAAAACAGAGGTGTTTCGGCCCTCCAGGACCGGAATTGAAGAACCCTGCTGTAGGCTATCTGTAATTAGATGTATGCCTATCGGGGACTGTAGGCTACCAGCATCTAGCTAACCAAACCATGGCAAAGTTGAATTACAATCATAAACCCTGATTTTAGTCAGTAGGCCTAGCCTATGTCTATTGAAATGACAAGTCAATCTCAAAAATAGGCCATAATAACGGTTTGTAGTCTTAAAATCTGGCACATAATAAAGTCACAATTGCCAGAAAAGTTCGTCCAAGTATTTCTTGCACAGCTTTTTTGAGATCCTCTGTCGAACTTTCATCCCTCAAACAAACTCCTGTCTCAAACAAACTCTTGTCGGATGTATCTATAGTTAAGCACATGTGCATAACGGATTTATTTACAATCATAGCAGTCAAACAAGTAAAATGTTGGGCTAGTTTTCAGGCCTTGTGGGCCAGTGTTTTTGTTGGTCATTGGTCTAGACATTTCAGCTACACCTGGCAACCCTTGCGCCAATGCCTACACTGGCTAAATTACTTCCGAACAAAAAGTGTCCGCGGAGCTCCTCCTCACAGATAGAACAATGAGGTAAAAAAAAAATCTATAGCCTCTCCCCTTGTGGTTCACATGAACACTTTCACTTTCCAAACGTCATTTGAAGTGTACTTCCGTGTTGGCGGGCTATGTATTTTATCTTACAAAAAAACAAAAACAATTTGTTGGCCTACAGCTGAAAACGTTTTGTTTACGTCCTCTCCGTTCTTCGTCAAAACGCGCGTCTATCCGTATGAGCGCTCGTCTGAATGAATCAGTCCGCCCGGGGCCTGTATTGAAATGTAAAAGACTACATCACATAATTTAAACTTTAATTTATCAGTCTGTAGGTGCAACCCAATATGATCTGGTTCGTCTATATGTGCAACCCGATATGAGCCGTTTCGTTCATTACTAAACTACTAATGATATTCAGTGACCTGCTAAATATAGGATTTTTTCTACAAGGAAAACTGTATTGAAGAGGTAAACTGCAGTTGCGACGGCGCCAATGGACCCGTTGGATTTTCTGACAGATGAGGAGTTACTGCGATTTTTCCGCTGTAGTAAGACAGAGATGTCGTGCATGGAGAAACCACACACCTTTCTTAACCAGCTCCGAGACTACCACCTCATTCCGGAAGAAATGTACAAGGTGAGAGCAGCAGAGACTGCGAAGTTTCTATATAGACACACCCGCCCACTCAAAGTCTAAGCAAGCAGCGCTAAATTACATCCTACCAAGCACGGACAGACGCCCAGGTCTTCAGCCATCTTTTTTTTTTGTGTGTTTTTTTTTTTCATCCACTGACGTTGAGTTTTGGTCTGGACTGGACCAAATCGGAACCAATCACAGACTTCAATGTTTGGTTCAGATTTGGTCCGGTCTGTACTGGACTTAATTTCAACTTCCACAGACATCTGGTCCAGACAGGAATTTATTTGGGCCAAACATAGACGTCTAAAATTGGTTCAGATTTGGTCCAGTCAGGACCGGCTTTGATTTGGCCCAAACATTGACAGATGTCTATGATTGGTTCAGAAATCTGAACCAATCATAGACATCTATGTTTCACAAGTTTGGACAGCACAGTGCAGTACAGTAGAGCACAGCAGAGTACAGTACATTAAAGAAAAGTAAAGTATAGTTCAGTACAATAGAGTACAGCACATTAGAGTATAGTACAGTATAATGTACTGTATTGTACCCTACTAAACTAAACTGTATACTGAATTAAACTCTACTGAACTAAACTGTACTCTGCTGAACTAAACTGTACTCTACTGAACTAAACTGTACTGTACTCTACTGAATTAAACTATACTGTACCGTACTGTACTCTACTATGCTCTACTGAATAAAACCCAGATTAAACCCTGTAACAAAACAAACTGTAGTCTACAGAATTGATTTGGTAAAATTATTTATCCTATTTTGTATAAGTGTGAGTGTACTGTGTACACTAACACCAGTTACTGTCCTATTGCTAGCTGGTAACAGGTCTCTAAACATTATTGTAGGAGTGGAAATTGGAGTTGATGATCATTGATTAGTAATGCCTGAACATTGTCCATAAATTCCTGTCTGTCTCATGAACTGATTGAGATGGTGGTTGCTTTTAGAGAATCAAGTCTATCACTCCCACTCCAGTCTTCATTTGACAACCCCCACAAATTGGACCATAGATTTGTATTTGACCTCTCCTGCAGAAGCTGATTCGGATTCGGAGTAAGGAGCTGAGGGAGAAGGGTGTGTACCAGGTGTTGGACTGGGTGGAGGCAGAGAGGCCCGACAGCATCAAGGTGTTCTGGAACTGTGTGTTCAGGGACCACCTCCTGCAGCAGTACCCCACGTTACGCCTGCTACGAAACCGCCTGCTGGACGGTCAGTTCTGGAGCATTCACTCTTATTATTGTATTATTATGGCATTTGTTAGTTAATATCGGTATATAATTCTAACTCCTAGTGTAATATAAATGTAGTCACAATGGTGGATACTTTGAAGTTGAGGTTCAAAGACCTGTCAAATTTGTATAATAATTTTTGTAATTAGGTGTACATGGTTTGCTAAATGTTGCCTCCAATCCCTTCCAGGGTCGTTCACATTCTATGAGAAACTGCCAGAGAAGGAAGAGGAAGAGGATAAGAAGAAGAAGAAGGCTTCAGCGGAAGGAGAAGAGGAGGAGGAGGAGGAGGAGGAGGAGGAGGAGGAGATGAAAGGAAGGAAACAGAGGAAAAAGAGAAATGAGAGTATGGAGGAGGAGCAGCCCAGCACGTCCACCCAGTCCACCCCAGTCAAATCAAATCAAATCAAATTGTATTTGTCACATGCGCCGAATACAACAGGTGTAGACCTTACAGTGAAATGCTTACTTACAAGACCTAACCAACAATGCAGTTTTAAGAGAAATAAGTGTTAAGTAAACAATAGATAAGTACAATTATCAGTAGCGAGGCTATTTACAGGGGGTACCGGTACAGAGTCAATGTGCGAGGTAATTGCGGTAATATGTACATGTAGGTATAGTTAAAGTGACTATGCATAGATAGTAAACAGAGAGTAGCAGCAGCGTAAAAGAGGAGGGGGGAGGGGGGGGTGGTAACTTGAAGCTCTCAACCTGCTCCACTACAGCCCCGTCGATGAGAATGGGGGCGTGCTTGGTCCACTTATTTTTCCTGTTGTCCACAATCATCTCCATTGTCTTGATCACGTTGAGGGAGAGGTTGTTATCCTGGCACCACATGGCCAGGTCTCTGACCTCCTCCCTATAAGCTCTCATTGTTGTCGGTGATCAGGCCTACCACTGTTGTGTCGTCGGCTACCTTAATGATGGTGTTGGAGAAATGCCTGGCCATGCAGTCATGGGTGAACAGGGAGTACAGGAGGGGACTGAGCATGCACCCATGAGGGGCTCCTGTGTTGAGGATCAGCATGGCAGATGTGTTGTTACCTACCCTTACCACCTGGGGGCGGCCCGTCAGGAAGTCTAGGATCCAGTTGCAGAGGGAGGTGTTTAGTCCCAGGGTCCTTAGCTTAGTGATGAGCTTCGAGGGCACTATGGTGTTGAACGCTGAGCTGTAGTCAATGAATAGCATTCTCACGTAGGTGTTCCTTTTGTTCAGGTGGGAAAGGGCAGTATGGAGTGCAATAGAGATTGAATCATCTGTGGATCTGTTGGGGCGGTATGCAAATTGGAGTGGGTCTAGGGTTTCTGGGATAATGGTGTTGATGTGAGCCATGACCAGCCTTTCAAAGCACTTCATGGCTACAGACGTGAGTGCTACAGGTCTGTAGTCATTTAGGCAGGTTACCTTAGTGTTCTTGGACACAGGGACTATGGTGGTCTGCTTGAAACATGTTGGTATTACAGACTCAGACAGGGACATATTGAAAATGTCAGTGAAGACACTTGCAAGTTGATCAGCGCGTGCTCGGAGTGCACGTCCTGGTAATCCGTCTGGCCCTGCGGCCTTGTGAATGTTGACCTGTTTAAAGGTTTTACTCACATCGGCTACGGAGAGCCGGAAAGTCCAGAGGCTCAAATACTGTGAGTCCCAGACTTCATGTTCTTTGGGGGAAAGAGGAGGCCTTGAGTCAGAAAGTCTAAAGTCCCTCTGTAACCTTTTTTTGGGGGGTGAAATATATTCATTTTTAATTTCAAGTCACATCTTAATGACTATCCCCAACGTGTCCCAATGCAGGTTCTCCTTTCAGGAATGGGGAGAAAGCTGACATCTGGAACTGGCCCATCTACAAGACCCAGCTCCCAGTCACCTGTGGGGACAAAGAAGGCATACTCATCAGGGACAAGCTGGCCAAAGGTAGATCGTAACAATGGACTTAATGTGATGTGATTCTCTGTGTTTTTGTGTAACAGTGGATGTGGTTCGGCCGGAATAACCGCACCTGAAACCTTGAAAGTGGCAATCTGCAGTTGCTACATCCATTTTTGGACTTATACATTTATGATATGTACCCATTGATTCTTGAAGAATATAACTTATAAATGCCTTATGAATTAGTTCAACTGTCTTACCCCATCAGAACAAAATGTAAGCTTGTTTTACTTCAATGTTTGTAAACAAAGTACATGTAAACAAACACGGTATACCCTCAAAACATGGTTAAAACTATAATGTTAATAGCATGGATGGTCAGTCCTTGCATCCATAGCCCCTTTTATGAATTTGAGATTGGTTACATTTCTCCAGCCCAGAGACCAGGGCCCGTATCCACAAAGGATCTCAAAAGGTCCTAGGAATCCTGTTAAAACATGTTTTAAGACAACAACAAACAAAAAAACTCACAGTAGGTTTTAGGATGTTGTAAGACACTGCCCAGACAAATTCTGGGCCAGGGTTAAAATCAACTCTTAAGTTTTTCTCAGCAGGTAATCATGACATTTGTAGGTACAGCAAAGGAAAGATAGTGATGAGGCTCATTGACATTGTTGCAAATGATGGGGAATAACCAATCGCAATGAGGCATTGCCAGTTGTGAACTCTATAGGTAACATGTAACCATGTTGAAATGACTTTAGCCTACATCAAATGTTGCAATGGTAAAAACTTTGATATAATTTTCGCCTGCCATGATCACTTTCCTACTCCAATATGTTGGCATGCATAACTTTTATTTTTATTTTATTCTGATGGTTGTTAAAATATTTTTACAAGATTACCTTTATATCAACCTACATTTAACAACTCTGAATCGCTTTGGCACAGGAGGCATCAAGTCGCTTGCCAACAATGTTGCATACAACGTTTGAAAGGTCTATCATTTTCATCGAACACAATCAGTCAACAGAAGCCTTAAATGCCTTCAATTGCCCAATTTATAGGCATGCCCAATTTAGAAATATATTTTTAACAGTGATGTTGCGCTCCAAATGGATAACTTGAAATAACATGATGTAGGTAATTAAATAATCGAAAAGAGAAACGTGTTTATTTATTAGCCTAGTGGATTATAAGTATTTAGGCATATACTTGTGAAATAGGCCTAATGTAAAATCATTGTCAAATGCTCAAGAGATACTGTTACATGTAGGTCTAGATTATTTATGGATTGATCATATAGAAATATCAAAACATTATTTTAACAACTCCAAAGTAATTGCATGTGGCGCAGGAACCACTGACTCGTTGCGTTTTTCTAGATGTGACTCATGACTAAAGGCTTCAAGGATAGCTTTAATTTTCTACCCATCAGCACTTACAATAAATGTTCTACTCTGAGACCCTTTGTGAATACGGGCCCAGATCTAAAGCATAGCCTTTAGTGGGTGAACACAGTATTGTGAATTGCAGGAGACCCATGTTTCAATCACAGTCAGGAACATGTACTACGGTCCATTTGACATTGCATGGTTTTAATTTGTGGTGGTGTGTATGATGTCTGACTTCCTCATTGGTTTGTCTCAGGGGAGAGGTGCATTGTGGTCCAGGGTCGCTGGTTAACCCCAAGTGGCTTTGAGGAGTTTGGGGGGAAGAAGAGCAGTAAGAACTGGAAGTACAGTATCCGCTGTAGAGACACCACTCTGGGAAAACTGATTCAGGTACGGCATATATTTATATTTGATTTGATTTATTTGACCATTTAAAAAAACAATTGAACCAGATATGTGGATACAATGCATTAGCCCCTCGTGTAGCTCAGTTGGTAGAGCATGGCGCTTGCAACGCCAGGGTTGTGGGTTCGATTCCCACGGGGGGCCAGTATTAAAATGTATGCACTCACTAACTGTAAGTCCCTCTGGATAAGAGCATCTGCTAAATGACTAAAATGTAAAAAAAAAAAAAAAAAAAAATTGAAGATAAACTTTTCTTTGTTAACAGCTTCGTCACTTTTCATACTCTAATCAGGACTATAGCAATTGAACACTGTTGCCATTCACTACACTCTGGGATTTACACTGAGTGTACAAAACATTACATAGTCCAGGGATCATCAACTAGATTCAGCCGCGGGCAGATTCTTTTTCTTGAGCGGATGGTCAGGGGCCCGGAACATAATTACAAATAATTTGTAGACTGCAAATTGACCGCAAGAAGTCCAAACAGATATAATATTTGACTAAAACATGAAACTGTAAGAGTTTACAAAGCTGTCATCATGTCAAAGGGTAGCTATTGAAGAATCTCAAATCTAAAGAATATTTTGATTTGTTTAACACTTTTTTGGTTACTACATGATTCCATATGTGTTATTTCATAGTTTTGATATCTTCACTAATATTCTACAATGTAGAAAATAGTAAAAATAAAGAAAACCCCTTAAATGAGTAGGTTTTTCCAAACTTTTGACTGGTACTGTATATGCAGATGTGTGATATAGGACGCAATTTTCAAGGACTACTTTTGGCTTGTGAGTGCTACATTCAGAACTACTGGCTAAAAAGTATACAGAAGTACAAGATAATTTCTTTAAAATGCTAGTTACCACATGGCTTGACCCAGGAACTCAGAAATTGGTTTGAAATATAGTTCTCTCTTTCCTCTTTTCAACAAACATAATTGTTCATGGATACTCTCATAATTGAAACATTTACAAAGAAAATACCAATAATAACTTTTGTAAATTTCACCTGTAAAAACATAAATTCCCCTTACCTCAATGTTTTGTCATGCTGACATAATTGACCAGGTGAATGAGTTATTTCGAGGAATTCACACATTTTAACTTAAAAAACATTACACAGCGCCATTTAGATTGGGAGTAATTAGCACTGTGACAACCAACCCGCGAGACAACCAACCCCCGTCTCCCCTCTTACCACAGCATATCGGTTTATCATTACATATACCAGAAAATTGGGCCAGACGGAGCAACAAACTATAGCTACATTATACCCTTTTTGTTTTTCTGTAAAGAAACTAACTGTACAGGTATTTCACTGATATGCCATTCAGTCACTCAACACCCAAAATAACTCTCTCCCCCTTTCTCTCCCCCCTCACTTCACCATCCCACCCACCTCAGGAAGGTCATTTAACTTCACCAGGCTTTAAAAGAAGAAAGTGTACACAGGTAGGTGACCTATCTTTAAATATACCACATCCTCTAGATTACATGTGTTTTCGCTCAAACTTTGGGGGCCAAATTAAATCACCCACAGGCCACAATCAACATTATTTATGGAACCCTTGCATAGACTGATCAGGTGAATCCAGGTGAAAGATATGATCCCTTAAACTTAATATTAGGATTATTTGTGTTCTTAATGTTTTGTACACTTAGTGTATATAGGTTTGTATCATAGTCTGTATCATATCATATAGGGGAGACTGGAGTTGGTTGTCACCATTTTTTACTCTGTGTGTATTTCTCAGTATATCTAACAAGACTCTTTTCAATATTAGGAGAAAGACCAAGGTCTTGGGTTGAAATGGGGTCCCTTTTTATCCTCATATCTTATTCCAACATGGAGTTATAAGCCATCAGAATAAAGTTAGGAATTTTCATGCGAGACAGGAGTCAGGATTTGGGGTTTCAGTGGGATTGGGACTGGATAGGAAAATAGCCTTGGCTATAGGTCAGGAGAAGATAGCATTTTCCCGTATGCCTCTCTGAATTATTAACAGACTTCATGTCTGTGACAGAGATGCATATGTAGTGAATTGTGCGTAGACCTATCAAATGTGTGACTGTCTGAAGAGTCACAATGACAGCTCAAAGAGGCACATGCTCTTTTATAGCAGGGATCATCAACTAGATTCAGCCACAGGACGATTTTTTCTTGAGCGGATGGTGTGGGGGATGGAACATAATTACAAATAATTTGTAGACTGCAAATTGACCACAAGAAGCCCAAACAGATATAATATACAGTGGGGGAAAAAAGTATTTAGTCAGCCACCAATTGTGCAAGTTCTCCCACTTAAAAAGATGAGAGAGGCCTGTCATTTTCATCATAGGTACACGTCAACTATGACAGACAAATTGAGGAGAAAAAAATCCAGAAAATCACATTGTAGGATTTTTTATGAATTTATTTGCAAATTATGGTGGAAAATAAGTATTTGGTCACCTACAAACAAGCAAGATTTCTGGCTCTCACAGACCTGTAACTTATTCTTTAAGAGGCTCCTCTGTCCTACACTCGTTACCTGTATTAATGGCATCTGTTTGAACGTGTTATCAGTATAAAAGACACCTGTCCACAACCTCAAACAGTCACACTCCAAACTCCACTATGGTCAAGACCAAAGAGCTGTCAAAGGACACCAGAAACAAAATTGTAGACCTGCACCAGGCTGGGAAGACTGAATCTGCAATAGGTAAGAAGCTTGGTTTGAAGAAATCAACTGTGGGAGCAATTATTAGGAAATGGAAGACATACAAGACCACTGATAATCTCCCTCGATCTGGGGCTCCACGCAAGATCTCACCCCGTGGGGTCAAAATGATCACAAGAACGGTGAGCAAAAATCCCAGAACCACACGGGGGGACCTAGTGAATGACCTGCAGAGAGCTGGGACCAAAGTAACAAAGCCTACCATCAGTAACACACTACTCCGCCAGGGACTCAAATCCTGCATTGCCAGACGTGTCCCCCTGCTTAAGCCAGTACATGTCCAGGCCCGTCTGAAGTTTGCTAGAGTGCATTTGGATGATCCAGAAGAGGATTGGGAGAATGTCATATGGTCAGATGAAACCAAAATATAACTTTTTGGTAAAAACTCAACTCGTCCTGTTTGGAGGACAAAGAATGCTGAGTTGCATCCAAAGAACACCATACCTACTGTGAAGCATGGGGGTGGAAACTTCATGCTTTGGGGCTGTTTTTCTGCAAAGGGACCAGGACGACTGATCCGTGTAAAGGAAAGAATGAATGGGGCCATGTATCGTGAGATTTTGAGTGAAAACCTCCTTCCATCAGCAAGGGCATTGAAGATGAAACGTGGCTGGTTCTTTTAGCATGACAATGATCCCAAACACACCTCCCGGGCAACGAAGGAGTGGCTTCTTAAGAAGCATTTCAAGGTCCTGGAGTGGCCTAGCCAGTCTCCAGATCTCAACCCCATAGAAAATCTTTGGAGGGAGTTGAAAGTCCGTGTTGCCTAGCGACAGCCCCAAAACATCACTGCTCTAGAGGAGATCTGCATGGAGGAATGGGCCAAAATACCAGCAACAGTGTGTGAAAACCTTGTGAAGACTTACAGAAAACGTTTGACCTGTGTCATTGCCAACAAGGGGTATATAACAAAGTATTGAGAAACTTTTGTTATTGACCAAATACTTATTTTCCACCATAATTTGCAAATAAATTCATAAAAAATCCTACAATGTGATTTTCTGGAGAAAAAAATTCTCATTTTGTCTGTCATAGTTGACATGTACCTATGATGAAAATTACAGGCCTCTCTCATCTTTTTAAGTGGGAGAACTTGCACAATTGGTGGCTGACTAAATACTTTTTTTCCCCACTGTATGACTAAAACATAATAATTTCAAACCTTGCTTAAATTTGTATATGATCACGTGTGTCTTTATTATGCGTGGAAATACTTTGGAACAGATTTCCAAAATTAAAATCACTTGGAGTTGATTTGCTGGTGTTAATTATAGTATTTTATGTCCAACAATGAAAATTTGCTCAGAAAACTTGATGGGCCAAATACAACCACCAGTGGGCCAAATTCAGCCCGCAGGCCGCCAGTTGGGGAACCTTGTTTTATAGGCTGTAATGTAGGGGTTTCCTGTAGGTTTTATTAATTGCATTCGGGTCGCGTGTGCAGTCCAGCAGTATCAATTATGCGTGTACTTTGAATTAATGCAATTTTTTTGTGAAGTAAATACGCTAGTCTAAAGGATTCCATGCGACAACCTGTTAGGATAATGTGCTATTTCATTTTTTGCTAATCTGATGCTGCTCATGTTGTGTATTTTGTGGAATTGCATTAGTGCCGACATTGGGGGAAAATTTGATACTTTTTGGGGGGGAAATGTGAAATATATTCCCTGCATACTGACGCCACAAACACACACTCTTTCACACTCACCACATACGCTGCTACTACTGTGTATTATCTATGCTGTTGCCTAGTCACTTTACCCCTACCTACAGTACATAGCTACCTCAATTACCTCGTTATCTTTAACTCTGCATTGTTGGAAAAGGACCTGTAAGTAAGTATTTCTCTGTTAGTCTAGACCTGTTGTTTATGAAGCGTGACAAATAAAATGTAATTTGATTTGATTTTATAAGCCATCAAACACACTCTGTCCACTTGTTACAACCAGCCCCATTGTGGGGTTGGATGTCACACAGTATGTGGTTGGTTGTCACAATGTTTACTAGTAGATTATTCCTTTTGTAACAAGAAGTGAAGCAATTTAGCAAACAGTCTTAGAAATAGCCTTTCTTTGATCGAACAATATTCCTAACAAAATTCAGCATTTCATGCCTTAAGAATAACATATGACATTTTGAGTAAATGTGTGTTTGCACACGTGGGTGTGTGACAGGAAAAATATGTGTGAGAGAGAGGCAACGAAGGGATCTCTTTATAGCGCAAGCACAAAAGATCTTGGGATTTATTGTGCACTGGCAGTGGCAATGTTGGTAGTGACAACCAACCCCACATTCCATGTGACAACCATCCCCATCCAACCAGCTTCAGCCCCTCACCATTTGAGTGACATCTAGCAAGAAGCACACACATCAGAGCATGCGAGAGAGCAATAACATGGTGCACATACAGCACCAGTCAAAAGTTTGGACACACCTATTCATTCCACGGTTTTTCTTAATTTTTACTATTTTCTACATTGTATAATAATAGAGAAGACATCAAAACTATGAAATAACACATATGGAATCATGTAGTAACCAAAAAAGTGTTAAACAAATCAAAATATATTTTATATTTGAGATTCTTCAAATAGCCACCCTTTGCCTTGATGACAGCTTTGCACCCGCTTGGCTTTCTCTTAACCAGCTTCACCTGGAATGCTTTTCCAACAGTCTTGAAAGAGTTCCCACATATGCTGAGCACTTGTTGGCTTCTTTTCCTTCACTCTGCGTTCCGACTCATCCCAAACTATCTCAATTAGGTTGAGGTCGGGGGATTGTGGAGGCCAGGTCATCTGATGCAGCACTCTATCACTCTCCTTCTTGGTAAAATAGCCCTTAAACAGCCTGGAGATGTGTTGGTTCATTGTCCTGTTGAAAAACAAATGATAGTCCCATTAAGCCCAAGCCAGATGGGATGGCATATCGCTGCAGAATGCTGTGGTAGCCATGCTTGTTAAGTGTGCCTTGAATTCTAAATAAATCACTGACAGTGTCACCAGCAAAGCATCCCCACACCATAACACCTCCTCCTCCATGCTTTACGGTGGGAAATACACATGCGGATATCATCCGTTCACCCACACTGCATCTCACAAAGCCACGGCGGTTGGAACCAAAAATCTCCAATTTGGACTCCAGACCAAAGGACAGATTTCCAACGGTCTAATGTCCATTACGCATGTTTCTTGGCCCAAGAAAACGTATTCTTATTGGTGTCCTTTAGCAGTGGTTTCTTCGCAGCAATTTGACCATGAAGGCCTGATTCACACAGTCTCCTCTGAACAGTTGATTTTGAGATGTGTCTGTTGCCTGAATTCTGTGAAGCATTTGTTTGAGCTGCAATTTCTGAGGTGCAGTTAACTCTAATGAACTTATCCTCTGCAGCAGAGGTAACTCTGGGTCTTCCATTCCTGTGGCGGTCCTCATGAGAGCCAGTTTTATCATAGCGGTTGATGGTTTTTGCGACTGCACTTGAAGAAACTTTCAACGTTCATGAAATGTTCCGTATTGACTGTCCTTCATGTCTTAAAGTAATGATGGACTGTTGTTTCTCTTTGTTTATTTGAGCTGTTCTTGCCATAATATGGACTTGGTCTTTTACCAAATAGGACTGTCTTTTGTATAAAAAGTTTAACACTTTTTTGGTTACTACATGATTCCATATTTGTTATTTCATAGTTTTGATGTCTTCACTATTATTCTACAATGTAGAAAATAGTAAAAATATAGAAAACACCTTGAATGAGTAGGTGTGTCCAAACTTTTGACTGGTACTGTATATGCACGTGTGATATAGGACGCAATTTTCTGGGACTAATTTTGGCTTGTGAGCGCTATGTTCAGGACTACTGGAGAATCTCTTTAAAATGGTAGTTTCCACATGGCTTGACCCAGGAACTCAGAAATTGGTTTGAAATATAGCTCTCCCTTTCCTCTTGTCCCATCCAATTGTTCATGGATACTCTCATAATTCAAACATTTACAAAGAAAATACCAATAATTAATTTAGTTAATTTCACCTATAAAAACATAAATTCCCCTCACCTCAATGTTTTGTCATTCTGACATGAATTGACCAGGTGGATGAGTTCTTTCGAGGAATTCACACATTTTAACTTAAAAAACATTACACAGCGCCATTTAGATTGGGAGTAATTAGCACTGTGACAACCAACCCGTGAGACAACCAACCCCCGTCTCCCCTACTCTTACCACAGCATATCGGTTTATCATTACATATACCAGAAAATTGGGCCAGACGGAGCAACAAACTATAGCTACATTATACCCTTTTTGTTTTTCTGTAAAGAAACTGTACAAGTATTTCACTGATATGCCATTCAGTCACTCAACACTCAAATTAAATGTGTCCCCCTTTCTTTCCCCACTCACTTCACCATCCCGCCCACCTCAGGAAGGTCATTTAACTTCACCAGGCTTTAAAAGAAGAAAGAGTACACGGGTAAGTGACCAATCTTTAAATATACCACATCCTCTAGATTAACAGCCAAACTTAATTTGACTATTTAGTTGTACAAATGCCCTCAAATGCTTAGTACATCCACATTGTACTGTATATCTATATAACAGTTCACCCACATCATTCTATGTAAAAATTACTTTGTAATAACTGAATTAAAAAAGATATCCTTGCCTTTATAAACTGAATATAATCCAGGTTCACCACCCTGGTACCTCATCCACTGTTAGGAGGTCCCCACAAATTAATAGAACGTTAACATATCATGGCAATTCAGCTTCCCTAGCTAGAGCCTTATACCATACTGGGCATAGAAAGATGTGCAAAGAAAGTGCTGCATCGTCATAGCATCTGAGTACATGTTGTTTATGAATATTAGTCATGAATCAGTTTTATTGCAACATCTAAACTTGATAACAGCTTAGCCTTAGCCGTTGATATTGTGATGTTTCTACGGGCATGTATTTATATTTCTTGGGCGTGATCATACTTTGACCAATGATACTTTTCTTTGTCCATGTTCTTACCATATTAGATGAAGAAGAGTCTATTATGTGACTGATATATGTAAAACTGCTCTGTCCCTTTTCTCCTATCTAGGCCAAGAGAACACTGTTACCCTCCAACCAATCAGCGGGCTCAATCACAGGTATGTACACCAATCACAACAATGGAATCTTTCTGAATCCTTTAGACATGACTCTCTGGTAAAGGGGATGGTGTTGTCTCTCTAATTGTGTGTTTTTGTTGTTGTAACGTTTTGTGAATAACACAGGCCTGTCCCTTCACACTTGCCTTCGGAAAGTGTTCAGACCCCTTGACCTTTTCCACATTACTGCCTTATTCTAAAATGGTTGAAATCGTTTTTTCCACTCATCAATCTACACACAATAACCCATAATGACAAAGCAAAAATAGGTTTGTAGAAATGTATTAAAAATAAAAAACGGAATATTACATTTACATAAGTATTCAGACCCTTTATTCAGTACTTTGTTGAAGCACCTTTGGCAGCTATTATAGCCTAGAGCAGGGGTGTCAAACGTACGGCCCGCGGGCCGGATCAGGCCCGCAAACGGGTTTAATCCGGCCCGCGAGATGATTTCAAAAAAAAAAAATATATATATATATATATTTTTTTTTTTAAGTATAAAAATGCGCTGCAATTTTTCAATTAAATAAACTGCTGTTCCAATTGCGTCCACTGGATGGCGCAATAGCAATTGTGTTAAGCAAGCAAACTGTTTATACCGGGGCAGAGCAAGTAGGTCAAGCACGTGCAGCCAATGAGCTACTTTGTTTTGCCCGCGATATTTATTACGGCTTCTACTTTTAACATTATGTGCTTTGGCACCCTCATTGCCCCAATATGTCTCTGTCAAAAAAAGAAAAGTGGACGCAGAGTGCAGAGTGTTCCAAGAAAAATTGTCATCCTATTTAATCACGGAATTGAATGGGAAAGCTGTATGTTTGGTGTGTTCAGAGCATGTTGCAGTGCTGAAAGAATATAACCTTCGTCGCCACTATGTGAGTCTTCATGCCGACAAATATGACAACTTTCAAGGACAGCGGAGATGAGAGAAGGTGAATGAACTGTTGGCGGGTCTGAAGAAACAGCAGTCTGTGTTTACTCACAGCCGAGACATCAGTGACGCTGCAGTGAAAGCTAGCTACCTCATTGCTAATGAAATCGCAGTGGCTTCAAAACCATTTAGTGAGGGTGAATTTGTAAAAACATGCATGATGAAGGCAGCGGAGATTGTGTGCCCTGAAAAGCAGCAGGCTTTTGCAAATATCAGCCTGACAAGAAACACAGTTGCAGACAGGATTTCCGATCTTTCAGTGGATTTGGACAGCCAGTTGAAGCAAAAAGTAAAGTCATTTATTGCGTTTTCGGTTGCAATTGATGAAAGCACGGACATTACAGATGTTGCACAACTGGCCATTTTTTCATCCGCGGAGTTGATGACACATTGACCGTCACCGAGGAGTTCGTGGAGTTGGTGCCGATGACAGATACAACGACAGCAGCTGATATTTTTACCGCACTCGTCGGCGCGCTGGACAGGGTCGGAGTGGACTGGTCCCGCGCTGTCAGCCTGGCTACAGATGGTGCGCCCTCAATGATCGGGAAAAAAGCAGGCGTTGTGACAAAGTTCAGAGAGAAAGTGCAATCTGCAAATGGAGGACGTGATTTTTTGACTTTTCACTGTATTTTGCACCAGGAGGCTTTGTGTTGCAAGTCATTAAAGATGGATAACGTCATGAAGGTGGTCATCCAAACTGTTAATTTCATCCGATCCAGAAGCCTGAATCACCGTCAGTTTGACAGCCTTCTCAGAGAGAAAGACCACATCTATGGCCTGCCATACCACACTGAGGTAAGATGGTTAAGCCGAGGTGCTGTGCTGAGGCGTTTCTTTGATTTACGAGAAGAAATTGAACAGTTCATGGAAGAAAAGGGCAAACCAGTGTTAGAATTTCATTCCGCAGAATGGATGCCGGACCTTGCATTTATGGTGGATGTTACAGAGCACCTGAATAACTTGAACAAACAGCTGCAAGGGCGCAACAAAGTTGTCACGCAGTATTATGACAGCATACGTTCTTTCAAGTTGAAGCTGTCATTGTGGGAGACGCAACTTGCCGGTGGTGATGCAGCTCACTTCCCCTGTCTGAAAAATGTGTGCGCGACCCAACATGTGGCAGACATGAAGCGGTTCAAAGATAAAATAACTGGACTGTTACGGGAGTTTGAGCAACGCTTTCAGATTTATGTTTATATGTTTTTATGTTGATGTGCTATTGTTTTTAATTGATTTTATTTTATTTGTATATTTAACCTATTCTTGACTCTGTGGTTCTTGCACTTGTTTGGGGAACAGGATTTCATTATTTTTATCTACATTTCTGCCTGAGAAATGACACCCTGATATAGTTCTGTGATCTGTGAAACAGTTCTGTTAATCACTGAGGCATTGTGTGTTTGTGTGTTCTTTTTCTTTAGAATTTTCAAATAAACTTGACGTGTTTTATGATTAATAGTGATGTTGTGCTTGTACTATTTTGGACACACTGTCCTCAGGCTCCAGCTTTATGTTGTATGTTGATCGTATTAAAACAAAGAAAACAATCTGAAGTTGTTGTTTTTAAGTTATATATACCATGATTTTTCCGGTCCGGCCCACTTGGGAATAGATTTTCCTCCATGTGGCCCCTGAGCTAAAATGAGTTTGACACCCCTGGCCTAGAGTCTTCTTGGGGATGATGCTACAAGCTTGGCACAGATGTAATTGGGGAGTTTCTCCCATTCTTCTCTGCAGATCCTCTCAAGCTCTGTCAGGTTGGATGGGGAGCGTTGATGCACAGCTATTTTCAGGTCTCTCCAGAGATGTTCGATCGGGTTCAAGTCCGGGCTCTGGCTGGGCCACTCAAGGACATTCAGAGACTTGGCCCGAAGCCACTCCTGTGTTGTCTTGTCTGTGTGCTTAGGGTCGTTGTCCTGTTGGAAGGTGAACCTTCGCCCCAGTCTGAGGTCCTGAGCGCTCTGGAGCAGATTTTCATCAAGGATCTCTCTATACTTTGCTCTGTTCATCTTTCCCTCGATCCTGACTAGTCTCCCAGTCCCTGTTGCTGAAATATATCCCCACAGCATGATGAGACCACCTCCGTGCTTCACCATAGGGATGGTGCCAGGTTTCCTCTAGACGTGACGCTTGGCATTCAGGCCAAAGAGTTCAATCTTGGTTTCATCAGACCAGAGAATCTTGTTTCTCATAGTCTGAGAGTCTTTAGGTGCCTTTTGGCAAACTCCAAGCGGGCTGTCATGTGCCTTTTACTCAGGAGTGGCTTCCTTCTGGCTATTCTACCTTAAATGTCTGATTGGTGGTGCTGCAGAGATGGTTGTCCTTCTAGAAGGTTCTCCCATCTCCACAGAGGAACTCTAGAGCTCTGTCAGAGTGACAATCGGGTTCTTGGTCACCTCCCTGACCAAGGCCCTTCTCTCCCAATTGCTCAGTTGGGCCGGGGGCCAGCTCTAGGAAGAGTCTTTGTGGTTCCAAACATCTTCCATTTAAGAATAATGGAGGCCACTGTGTTCTTGGGGACTTTCAATACTGCAGAAATGTTTTGGTACCCTTCCCCAGATCTGTGCCTCGACACAATCCTGTCTCTGAGTTTTACGGACAATTCCTTCGACCTCATGGCTTGGTTTTTGCTCTGACATGCACTGTCAACTGTGGGACCTTATATAGACAGGTGTGTGCCTTTCCAAATCACGTCCAATCAATAGAATTTACCACAGGTGGACTCCAATCAAGTTGTAGAAACATCTCAAGGATGATCAATGGAAACAGGATGCGCCTGAGCTCAATTTTGAGTCTCATAGCAAAGGGTCTGAATACTTATGTAAATAAGGTATTTCTGTTTTTTTATAAATTAGCAAAAATGTCTAGAAATCTGTATTCCCTTTGTCATTATAGGGCATTGTGTGTAGATTGCTCAGGATTTTTATTTAATCAATTTTAGAATAAGGCTGTAACATAACAAAATGTGGAAAAGGTCAAGGGGTCTGAATACTTTCAAAAGGCACCTCTTTGTTTATCTTTACTTCAGAATCTGAGGAGGATGATGACGATGATGAGGAGGAAGAGGAGGAAGAAGAAGCTGAGCAGGAAAGAGAGGAAGGAGGGAGAGGAGAGCAGGCAAACACTGCTGGAGGAGAGAGCAGTACAGGAGGCAGCCATGGTGTTGTGAAAAAGTCTGTCTTCAAAGTCACCTGTGGGGCCATCAATGGAACGCTACATAAGGATCGGTTTGCATCAGGTACATATTTTATTCTCTCAAGGTTTAATAAACATAAGAAAGTCCTATAGCTATTGCCGTGTCTCAGAAACTATTGGAGGTACTGGAGACACTTTTACATGTTGGCAACCCTCTTTCTCTGGCTGCACCTCAAATACTGCCCCCACTTAGTGCTTTTATCAAGCAGAAAACCCATGGCAGCAGATCCACAAGGTCTGCCATGAAAGGTGACTGTATAGTTCCCTTAAGGAAAAGTACCTTCAGTCAGACGGCTTCAGTCAGAGCTTCCCATGTCTGGAACATAACTACCTCCAGACACAGGTAACTGCGCCACACACAACCTGTCTGTAGTTTGTGAGGTGTTCGTGTGTTAGTTGTCATATGTTGCTCTCTATGTGCTCATTGTCTGTCTGTACTACGGGACTAAGGTCGAAATTTTGCCAACTGGCTAAAACCGCCACTTTTACTGAAAATCTCTCTGCAAAAATAAACGTAATAAAGTAAAGTAAATGACACACTTTGTCGATAATACACTACAGGTTATTTTACCATAGCCCTATGTCACTCTGGTCAGCTGTCGTGCGCCATATTGGATTTATACTAGGGTTATAATAGGGTTTCATTTGAGATTATCCTTCTGCCCCTATCTTCTCTGTTGCCCCAGGGTCATGTGGAAAGAGCATCCGTACGGAGCTGCGCTGGATGACCCCGGTGGAGTTTGTGAAGGGGAGTTCAGCTCTGGAGGATGCCTCCTGGAAGAAAGACATCCAGTGGGATGGGAAACCACTCAGTGTCCTTCTCGAGGTACAGACGAAAAGAGAACAGAAAGAGAGAGAGGAACAGAGATGAGAGAGAATGAAGATGTGTGTTTGGCACTTACCAACCTACTGTACATGGAATGGCTTAAGATAGTCTGCCAGGTCTTTAAGGATCTGTGATGAAAACATTTCCCTTCTTCAAAAACGTTTTACTAGTACTACTACTGTCTTTGTTTGTTTCTCATTTTCAGAGTAAGATCTTGGTCATCCACTCTCTCCTTTGTAAATGCAAGCTGTGCAGCCCCACAGCCAAAGACCAGGTATGTTTCCCCATCGACCCTCAGGAACATGGTGGCACCCACTTACCAATCAGCCAATCACATTGGTTAAACGAATGCTTCAGTTGTAATAATGAAATTCCAAGATGTTTCTTAACATCACTGGATAGGGAATGAATTCATGACATTTTCGTGTCAAATCATCAGTTGCAAGATTAATTGACACATAAACAAACATTACAATGATTCACAGTGATAATTCAGTGATAATTATTCTGGTGTTCTGCGCAGTGCGCACAACATAAATAATGAAAAAGAAATCAGTACATAATAGTAGATAAGGTTATTCAAGCAATAATAATAATAACCCTAGACCAGTAAAAATTATAAAAAATAAATACAGAAAAATTAAACAAAGTGTTTAAACCTGGTCTCGCACAAAGAGACGATTCAAGTGTGAAACAGGCCTACACACAATCTATAGACATATGTGCACTTTGCTATATAGGAGCTACAGTTAAAGTCGGAAGTTTACATACACTTAGGTTGGAGTCATTAAATCTAGTTTTTTCAACCACTCCACAAATGTCTTGTTAACAAACTATAATTTTGGCAAGTCGGTTAGGACATCTACTTTGTGCATGACACAAGTCATTTTTCCAACAATTGTTTACAGACAGATTATTTCACTTATAATTCACTGTATCACAATTCCAGTGGGTCAGAAGTTTACATACACTAAGTTGACTGTGCCTTTAAACAGCTTGGAAAATTACAGAAAATGATGTCATGGCTTTAGAAGCTTCTGATAGGCTAATTGACACCATTTGAGTCAATTGGAGGTGTACCTGTGGATGTATTTCAAGGCCTACCTTCAAACTCAGTGCCTCTTTGCTTGACATCATGGAAAAATCAAAAGAAATCAGCCAAGAACTCCGAAAACAATTGTAGACCTCCACAAGTCTGGTTCATCCTTGGGAGCAATTTCTGAAGGTACCACGTTCATCTGTACAAACAATACTAAGCAAGTATAAACACCATGGGACCATGCAGCCGTCATACCGCTCAGGAAGGAGACACGTTCTGTCTCCTAGAGATGAACGTACTTTGGTGCGAAAAGTGCAAATCAATCCCAGAACAACAGCAAAGGACCTTGTGAAGATGCTGGAGGAAACAGGTACAAAAGTATCTATATCCACAGTAAAACGAGTCCTATATCGACATAACCTGAAAGGCCGCTCAGCAAGAAAGAAGCCACTGCTCCAAAACCGCCATAAAAAAGCCAGACTACGGTTTGCAACTGCACATGGGGACAAAGATCGTACTTTTTTGAGAAATGTCCTCTGGTCTGATGAAACAAAAATAGAACTGTTTGGCCATAATGACCATCGTTATGTTTGGAGGAAAAAGGGGGTATGCTTCCAAGCAGAAGAACACCATCCCAACCATGAAGCACGGGGGTGTCAGCATCATGCTGTGGGGGTGCTTTGCTGCAGGAGGGACTGGTGCACTTCACAAAATAGATGGCATCATGAGGAAGGAAATGTATGTGGATATATTGAAGCAACATCTCAAGACATCATTCAGGAAGTTAAAGCTTGGTCGCAAATGAGTCTTCCAAATGGAAAATCACTGCCTCCTCTCCTTGTTCGGGCAGGTTTCGGCTTTCGGTGTCACCGGCTTACTAGCTACTGCCAATCCATTTATCATCACTCCATTTGTCTTGTCTTCAATCACACACACCTGGTCCTTATTCCCTCATTAGTCATGGTATAAGTGTTCCCTCTGCTTTCCTTGTCTGTGTGGGTGATTGTTTATTGTGGAGGTTTGTGAAGCTTGTGTATTTCCCGTGTGCCTTGTATTTTCCAGTGTGCCTGTTTTGTGCCCTGGAGTGTGTTTGACGCATTTCTGCGTAAACCTGTATTTTGCGGATTAAAGCCTGTTATTCTGTGATATACCCTCCTGCTCCTGACTTCTTCAATACCACCTCATCACAAATACTAATTGAGTGTATGTAAACTTCTGACCCACTGGGAATGTGATGAAAGAAATAAAAGCTGAAATAAATCATTCTCTCTACTATTATTCTGACATTTCACATTCTTAAAATAAATTGATGATCCTAACTGACCTAAGACAGGGAATCTTTACTAGGATTAAATGTCAGGAATTGTGAAAAACTGAGTTTAAATGTATTTGGCTAAGGTGTATGTAAACTTCCGACTTCAACTGTACATAAAAAACAAAATACCTCAAAGTTTCCTAAGAGCTAGTCGCGAGGCCGCCATCTTCGTCGGCGCCAGGTATGCATAACCAATATATTTTTGTCTTTCCTATAACTCCCCCAATATTTCTACATGCTGAGGGCAGATGTGCCATATAGACAGGTCTTATGTTCATCAAAATAAAGACCCAAATATTGATAATTGCTAGTAAACTCAATAATTTTTTCACCACAACAAAACTGAAAAAACGTATCTTAGTACTTGGATTTCTAAAATGCATTTTTGTTGTAAAAAAAACAAAACATGATTCTCCATCTTTTGCACCAATTGACATTTTCCGCAGGTCTTGTTCAGTTTCTGGCATCAAAATAATATCATCAGCATTTCATCATCATATCTTACTCCAATATTTAACTGTTTAATTTATTTTGCCAAAGTATTAATAAACATAGCAAACAGAGTCGGTGATAAGGCGTCTCCTTGTTTTACACCCGAGGGTGTGGGAAACAAATCTGTACGATATTTATTAACACACAAACAGGCAGTTGGTGCTTGATTGTTAACCAATTCCTTCTCACCTTCCTCTCTTCTCTGTCTTGTCAGCACGATCAGGATAACGATGACGACTGCTTCATCTGTAGAAGCCAGGGCAGCTTGATATGCTGTGATAAGTGTCCTCGCTCCTTCCATCAGAGATGTCATCTTCCTAATGTGGATGACGATATGCTGGGGTGAGAAGAGTTGAGGGTTGATGAGAGAGAGAGTGAGAGAAAGAGATTGATAGAAGAGAGGTCTGTTTGTTCTGTGTAGGTAAATTTTGCTGTTTAGCTTATTTGTGTACTATTGAAGTGTGTGTGTTTGTGTGTGTGTGTGTGTGTGTAATCACAGGGATAATGGTCCATGGATGTGTACATTCTGTGTACTGAGGGACAGTCAGTCGTGGCGTTACCCCAAACAAATGACCTACCAGGAAGCCTTGACCTGCCGAATCTCTGACCACCTACTGGTGAGGAGCCTGAATTAATGACTGCTACCATTCGGCCAATTGCCTGTCAATCAATTAATCAACCTATCCATCTGTCAGTCTGTCCATTATAAGCATCACAAAATAATTATTCAGAATTAAATGTAAACAAGCTTTGATCAGTCACATAAAGGTGCGTGTTTACTCTGACAGGAATGCCACTACCTCCTGCTCTGTCTGTACCACGCGGACAAGGACCGCATCTTTGTGACAGAACGTTGCATCAATGTAAGTTTGCTTGGTTCTCTCTGTGTGTGTGTGTGTGTGTGTGTGTGTGTGTGTGTGTGTGTGTGTGTGTGTGTATGTGTGTGTGTGCGTGTGCGTGAGTGCGTGCGTGCGTGCGTGCGTGAAAGTGAGAGAGAAAGTTCACATATATCTCCGTCTGTATGTTTCATTGCCAGGTGAGAAACTACACCAGTGTGATTAAGACCCCTATATGGCTGGACAGGGTTGTGGAGAAGCTGCAGCAGAATCTCTACCAGTCAGTGCAACACTTTGTGTCTGACGTGTTGCTTATCTTCACCAACTGTGCCACATTTAACAGGGTAAGACTGCACTACTGCAGTATCCAATGTGAAGACTCAGGGCTAACATTTTAAAAATAAATCTTGGAATTATGCTAGTCAACTTTACTTGTGCTAATGCATGAATAACACTTTAAAAATGTGCCTTTGTTTAATCCGTAACAAAGCTGCATTAGGCAAAATGAGCTGTTTTAATTGCATTTCTACCTTATTTATTATGTTTTCTATACAATTGTGTCTGTCTTTTTTTTCTGAAGGACAATGCAGAGTTTCGTGGGATGGGCGAAAGATTAAAGGATCTATTTGAGAGCGAGTTCAAGAGTACATTCAGCATCCAACTTCAGCATCCAACTGCATCCAACAGCCAGTAGAGCCTTCATCAAGTCTGTACTGTTATCTCACTATGAGACAACAGGGAATATTCACCATGCCCTGGTCTTTGTATACGGCCTTCATACAGACTTGTACACCAAGTTGTACAGATCTTATTTTCCATGCATGTACATTATTATCCATCTAGTCCTTTCATGAATGTCTTTCATTCGTTCTACCAGTCAAACATGGGTGTGTGATAATAATTGAAATAGAATGATGGTGAAAACATAGCATTTCATACAGTAAATGTCGTTTTCCTAACTTCTCATGCTAGAGCCATAGAAGTCCTTACCTTCCAGGCTTCTTACTTCTGGTCAGGCCTTACTAGATTTATGTCCAGGGATTCTGTCGAAAATAAACTAAAGATTTTCTAAAACATTGTACAACATACTGTAGGTCTACTTGTTTGACTGTGTGTAGCCTACCAGAATGGGGTTATTTTGAAAGGAGAATATCATCAGACAGAGTAGCAGCGCCCTCTTTAGGGCAGTTTGGACAGCGTCTGCGTTGCGTCTCTGCCCTCGTGCAAGGCCCGGGAACGCTGTTACACGTCACCACAATTGCCAGCAGCGAATCCCTGCCCAGAGCTGCGCATCAGTGTTGCGCAGACATGCTTGGTAAAGAACACAGCCTTTTCTCTTCAGCTTGTTGGAAAGCCTCAGGTCCGAGAATGCAAATACTGCAATAGTGGCTGATGTTGGGTTTGTAGGCAAGTTTCTTTATACAGTGGGGGAAAAAAGTTTTTAGTCAGCCACCAATTGTGCAAGTTCTCCCACTTAAAAAGATGAGAGAGGCCTGTAATTTTCATCATAGGTACACGTCAACTATGACAGACAAATTGAGAAAAACAATTCCAGAAAATCACATTGTAGGAATTTTAATGAATTTATTTGCAAATTATGGTGGAAAATAAGTATTTGGTCACCTACAAACAAGCAAGATTTCTGGCTCTCACAGACCTGTAACTTCTTCTTTAAGAGGCTCCTCTGTCCTCCACTCGTTACCTGTATTAATGGCACCTGTTTGAACTTGTTATCAGTATAAAAGACACCTGTCCACAACCTCAAACAGTCACACTCCAAACTCCACTATGGCCAAGACCAAAGAGCTGTCAAAGGACACCAGAAACAAAATTGTAGACCTGCACCAGGCTGGGAAGACTGAATCTGCAATAGGTAAGCAGCTTGGTTTGAAGAAATCAACTGTGGGAGCAATTATTAGGAAATGGAAGACATACAAGACCACTGATAATCTCCCTCGATCTGGGGCTCCACGCAAGATCTCACCCCATGGGGTCAAAATTTTCACAAGAACGGTGAGCAAAAATCCCAAAACCACACGGGGTGACCTAGTGAATGACCTGCAGAGAGCTGGGACCAAAGTAACAAAGCCTACCATCAGTAACACACTACGCCGCCAGGGACTCAAATCCTGCAGTGCCAGATGTGTCCCCCTGCTTAAGCCAGTACATGTCCAGGCCTGTCTGAAGTTTGCTAGAGTGCATTTGGATGATCCAGAAGAGGATTGGGAGAATGTCATATGGTCAGATGAAACCAAAATATAACTTTTTGGTAAAAACTCAACTCGTCGTGTTTGGAGGACAAAGAATGCTGAGTTGCATCCAAAGAACACCATACCTACTGTGAAGCATGGGGGTGGAAACATCATGCTTTGGGGCTGTTTTTCTGCAAAGGGACCAGGACGACTGATCTGTGTAAAGGAAAGAATGAATGGGGCCATGTATCGTGAGATTTTGAGTGAAAACCTCCTTCCATCAGCAAGGGCATTGAAGATGAAACGTGGCTGGGTCTTTCAGCATGACAATGATCCCAAACACACCGCCCGGGCAACGAAGGAGTGGCTTCGTAAGAAGCATTTCAAGGTCCTGGAGTGGCCTAGCCAGTCTCCAGATCTCAACCCCATAGAAAATCTTTGGAGGAAGTTGAAAGTCCGTGTTGCCCAGCGACAGCCCCAAAACATCACTGCTCTAGAGGAGATCTGCATGGAGGAATGGGCCAAAATACCAGCAACAGTGTGTGAAAACCTTATGAAGACTTACAGAAAACGTTTGACCTGTGTCATTGCCAACAAAGGGTATATAACAAAGTATTGAGAAACTTTTGTTGTTGACCAAATTATTATTTTCCACCATAATTTGCAAATAAATTCATAAAAAATCCTACAATGTGATTTTCTGGATTATTTTTTCTCATTTTGTCTGTCATATTTGACGTGTACCTATGATGAAAATTACAGGCCTCTCTCATTTTTTAAGTGGGAGAACTTGCACAATTGGTGGCTGACTAAATACTTTTTTCCCCCACTGTATCTACTTGAAAGACGAAAACTTTTTCCTTCTCATAAACATTGAGAGAAACACACATAGGCAGCCTATTTAGACGGGGTCGATCGATTCCATAGCCAAGAAAGTGCGCTTGGTAGATGCGGTTATGTCATTGAATATCACTGTAAAAAGTGAAGACTCCGAGTCCTTAGACTCGCTGCTTTTGGATAAAAGAGGCTCAGAGTCGGCAGTTCTTCATAATATTTATCCGGGAGAAGGCAGTCCAATAGAAGACAATGCAGAGTATTCAACACAGCATGGGCGGCTAGCAACTAAAAGGACCACCAAACCCATTGTACTTTAAGTTGTTGTTGGAACTGTATAATCAGACAGAGATAGCATAGTCTTGTCTCACAGGAACTTTTTGTTTAGAAACACTAGTAGATAATAGCAGAATATACCGCACAACCAGAGCTGATTAGCCTAGTGAAGGTGCTGGAGGAAAACCTGGAGAAACAGGAAAAAGTATCTGCACACTTTAGAAATACTAGTACAATCTATAATGAAATATCAGAATTGTATTGAAACTATGAGCTAAAGCAAAATAAAATGCGTGCACATCTTCCGAGCCAAACAGACAGGGTTGGCTTAGAATCATGGGATTATTGAAACTATATTTTTGTCTGCACCAGTGGCGACGCCTCATTCAGAGCAGGTGAGAGCCCCTCCTGTTTTGAGCCCCACCTGTTTAGCTAAAAACCTGTTATTTATTTTGTGCGTGTTTTGCATGTTCTTTTGACATTAATACGTGTCACATATCAGTTTGCAAACAATGTAAAAAAAATAATAATAATAATTGAGTTAATAAAGCCGCATACAAACACAGTCTCTTTTTTGCTTGTTTGAGTAAGCCAGCTCCAAAATGCAGGTGTTTGGTAATCTTCTCTAGTTGCGCCGTGATTGGCTCATTGTTCTGTCACTCATGGGGGTACAACGTCACCGCAAAATCTATTTAAATGTATTAAATAAATAAAAATCCTCATCAATCTACACACAATACCCCATAATGACAAAGTGGAAACAGGATTTTAGAAATGTTTGCACATTTATTAAAAATAAGAAACAGAAATATCTTATTTACATAAGTATTTAGACCCTTTGCTATGAGACTCGAAATTGAGCTCAAGTGCGTCCTGTTTCCATTGATCATCCTTGAGATGTTTCTACAACTTGATAGGAGTCCATCTGTGGTAAATGCAATTGATTGATTTGGAAAGGCACACACCTGTCTAAATAAGGTCCCACAGTTGACAGTGCATGTCAGAGCAAAAACCAAGCCATGAGGTCGAAGGAATTGTCCATAGAGCTCCGAGTCAGGATTGTGTCGAGGCACTGATGGGAAGGGTACCAAAACATTTATTTAGCATTGAAGGTCCCCAAGAACACAGTGGCCTCCATCATCACCAAGACTCTTCATGGAGCTGGCCGCCCGGCCAAACTGAGCAATCGGGGGAGAAGAGCCTTGGTCAGGGAGATGAACAAGAACCCGATGGTCACTCTGACACAGCTCCAGAGTTCCTCTGTGGAGATGGAAGAACCTTCCAGAAGGACAACCATCTCTGTAGCACTCCACCAATCAGGCCTTTATGGTAGAGTGGCCAGACAGAAGCCACTCCTCAGTAAAAGGCACATGACAGCCCATTTAGAGTGGCACCTAAAAGACTCTCAGACCATGAAAAACAAGAACTGTTTGGCCTGAATGCCAAGCGCCACGTCTGGAGGAAACCTGGCACCATCCCTAGAGTGAAGCGTGGTGGCAGCATCATGCTGTGGGCATGTTTTTCAGCGGCAGGGACTGGGAGACTAATCAGGATTGAGGGAAAGATGAACAGAGATCCTTGATTAAAACCTGCTCCAGAGCGCTCAGGACCTCAGATTGGGGGTGAAGGTTCACCTTCCAACAGGACAACGACCCTAAGCACACAGCCAAGACAACGCAGGAGTGGCTTCAGGACAAGTCTCTGAATGTCCTTGAGTGGCCCAGCCAGAGCCCGGACTTGAACCCGATCCAACATCTCTGGAGAGACCTGAAAATAGCTGTGCAGCGACGCTCCCCATCCAACCTGAAAGAGCTTGAGATGATCTGCAGAGAAGAATGGGAGAAACTCCCCAAATACATGTGTGCCAAGCTTGTAGCGTCATACCCAAGAAGACTCTAGGCTATAATAGCTGCCAAAGGTGCTTCAACAAAGTACTGAATAAAGGGTCTGAATACTTATGAAAATGTGATATTTCAGTTGTTTTTTATACATTTGCAAAATTTTCTAAAAACCTGTTTTTGCTTTGTCGTTATTTGACATTTTAGTCATTTAGCAGACACTCTTATCCAGAGCGACTTACAATTAGTGAGTGCATACCTTTTTCATACTGAGTTATGGTTATAGTTATGGGGTATTATGAGTAGATTGATTGAGGGGGGGGAAAAACTATTTAATCCATTTTAGAATAAGGCTGTAACGTAACAAAATGTGTAAAAAGTCAAGGTGTCTGAACACTTTCTGAATGCACTCTATTTGTATGGGTGTTGCTAGGCCCAAGTTGAGGGCCGGCAAACCGTGCCAATATGTCCTCCAAACACCGTCTTCAAGGAATTATCCCTTTTAAACAACGGGTTACCAACATATTCAAATAATGATTTACATATTTTCATTAAAAACGTTATTTTGATTAATTTATTCATACTGTTTCATCCTTCCACAAGATATATTCCCGACACAAATCTAGGGCTGCTACCCAAGCCGGCTGGTCGTTCGTTCTATCGGTTTGGTTGCCAGAGACGTGACCCAGTCGTTCAGTCTTTTTGTTCTGTATCGATGGACGCGACCCAGTCGTTCGTTCTAAATGTTCCATTGCCATACTGGCGGGCAACGTTCTTATCCCTTGCTTGCTAGCTAGCCAACTACGGCTAACTCCTCTGAACAACAGTGTCCTGACGAGTGAGCACATTTTGAGGGTTGAGGGGCAGCTCTCTGGGAACTGTGGGGGGGATCTTGGATGATTGGTGGCCTGGCGGTTGGGAGCTTGGGCCGGTCGCCAATGGGTCGCTTGTTCGGGTCCCCGATTTGACTTGGTGGGAGATCTGTCGACGTGCCCTTGGGCGGGGTGCTTGACCCTGGTTGCTCCTGTGTGTCGCTCTGGATGGGAGTCTGTTAGATGACTGAATGTAATGTAAATTTTGAGCGGCTTCACTGCAGGTAGATTGTATGTTTTAATATTCAATAAAATAAAATAGTGTATTCCAATGTCTCACCATGCACATCTTCCATCTCACCTCACAGCGTTCCCAGCCCATGTCCCCAGTTATTGCCAGTATAGGCGCAAACTTGTGGACACCTAAAAAATTACGTACTGCTTTGAGATACCTCTTAGCAATCCACACTCCTGCCGAATAGTCCAGAACAGGACACAAACGTCTGATACAGTTTGGAATACGTGGCATAACCGATATGTTTGTTTTTGTTTTTCCCATAACTCCCCCATGAGCTCTACTTGCTGAGTGAACAAGGGCAGATGTGCCGTATAGAAAGGTCATATGTTCATCAAATTAAAGACCCACATATTTATAATTGCTAGTAAACTCAATAATTTCTTCACCAAAGCAAACTGAAAAACACTTCTCTTAGTACTTGGTTTTCTAAAATGCATTATTTGTGTTTTTTTTTATGATTGATCATGAGTCTCCGTCTTTTGCACCAATTCACTGCACTTAATATCATTTTCAGCAGGACTTGTTCAGTTTCTGCCATCAAAATAATATAATCCTCATATCTTACTCCAATATTTAACTGTTTAATTTATTTTGCCAAAGCATTAATAAACATAGTAATCAGAGTCGGTGATAAGGCGTATCTTTGTTTTACACCTAAGGGTGTGGGAAACAAATCTGTACGATATTTATTAACACACAAACAGGCAGTTGGTGCTTGATTGTTAACCAATTCCTTCTCACCTTCCTCTCTTCTCTGTCTTGTCAGCACGATCAGGATAACGATGACGACTGCTTCATCTGTAGAAGCCAGGGCAGCTTGATATGCTGTGATAAGTGTCCTCGCTCCTTCCATCAGAGATATCATCTTCCTAATGTGGATGACGATATGCTGGGGTGAGAAGAGTTGAGGGTTGATGAGAGAGAGAGTGAGAAAGATTGATAGAAGAGAGGTCTGTTTGTTCTGTGTAGGTAAACTTAGCTGTCAGCTTGTTATCTGTGTGTGTGTGTGTGTGTGTGTGTGTGTGTGTGTGTGTGTGTGTGTGTGTGTGTGTGTGTGTGTGTGTGTGTGTGTGTGTGTGTGTGTGTGTGTGTGTGTGTGTGTGTGTGTGTGTGTGTGTAATCACAGGGATAATCTTCTGTGGGTGTGTACATTGTGTGTACTGAGGGCCAGTCATTCGTGGCGTTACCCCGTTCAAAAGACTTACCAGGTGGCTCTGACCTGCCGAAACTCTGACTATCTACTGGTGAGGAGCCCGACTGCATGAATGCTACCATTGGGCCAATTGCCTGTCGATCGATCAATCAATCAATTGTCTATCTATCTATCTACCTGTCTGTCCATTATAAGCATCACTATATACTTGACATTAAATAATTATTCAGAATTAAATGTAAACAAGCTTTGACCAGACACATAAAGGTGTGTTTACTCTGACAGGAATGCCACTACCTCCTGCTCTGTCTATACTACGCGGACAAGGACCACATCTTTGTGGAAGATCCTTGCATCCACGTAAGTTTGCTTGATTTTCTCTCTCTGTGTGTGTGTGTGTGTGTGTGTGTGTGTGTGTGTGCGTGCGCGTGCGTGTGAGAGTGAGAGAGAAAGTTCACATATATCTCCATCTGTATGTTTCATTGCCAGGTCAGAAACTACACCAGTGTGATTAAGACCCCTATATGGCTGAACAGGGTTGTGGAGAACCTGCAACAGAATCTCTACCAGTCAGTGCAACACTGAGTCTGACGTGTTGCTTATCTTCACCAACTGTGCCACGTGTGTGTGTGTGTGTGTGTGTGTGTGTGTGTGTGTGTGTGTGTGTGTGTGTGTGTGTGTGTGTGTGTGTGTGTGTGTGTGTGTGTGTCAAAGTTCACATACAGTGAGGGAAAAAAGTATTTGATCCCCTGCTGATTTTGTACGTTTGCCCACTGACAAAGAAATGATCAGTCTATAATTTTAATGGTAGGTTTTTTTGAACAATGAGTGACAGAATAACAACAAAAAAATCCAGAAAAACACATTTCAAAAATGTTATAAATTGATTTGCATTTTAATGAGGGAAATAAGTATTTGACCCCCTCTCAATCAGAAAGATTTCTGGCTCCCAGGTGTCTTTTATACAGGTAACAAGCTGAGATTAGGAGCACACTCTTAAAGGGAGTGCTCCTAATCTCAGCTTGTTACCTGTATAAAAGACACCTGTCCACAGAAGCAATCAATCAATCAGATTCCAAACTCTCCACCATGGCCAAGACCAAAGAGCTCTCCAAGGATGTCAGGGACAAGATTGTAGACCTACACAAGGCTGGAATGGGCTACAAGACCATCGCCAAGCAGCTTGGTGAGAAGGTGACAACAGTTGGTGCGATTATTCGCAAATGGAAGAAACAGAAAAGAAGAACTGTCAATCTCCCTCGGCCTGGGGCTCCATGCAAGATCTCACCTCGTGGAGTTGCAATGATCATGAGAACGGTGAGGAATCAGCCCAGAACTACACGGGAGGATCTTGTCAATGATCTCAAGGCAGCTGGGACCATAGTCACCAAGAAAACAATTGGTAACACACTACGCCGTGAAGGACTGAAATCCTGCAGCGCCCGCAAGGTCCCCCTGCTCAAGAAAGCACATATACAGGGCCGTCTGAAGTTTGCCAATGAACATCTGAATGATTCAGAGGAGAACTGGGTGAAAGTGTTGTGGTCAGATGAGACCAAAATCGAGCTCTTTGGCATCAACTCAACTCGCCGTGTTTGGAGGAGGAGGAATGCTGCCTATGACCCCAAGAACACCATCCACACCGTCAAACATGGAGGTGGAAACATTATGCTTTGGGGTGTTTTTCTGCTAAGAGGACAGGACAACTTCACCGCATCAAAGGGACGATGGACGGGGCCATGTACCGTCAAATCTTGGGTGAGAACCTCCTTCCCTCAGCCAGGGCATTGAAAATGGGTCGTGGATGGGTATTCCAGCATGACAATGACCCAAAACACACGGCCAAGGCGACAAAGGAGTGGCTCAAGAAGAAGCACATTAAGGTCCTAGAGTGGCCTAGCCAGTCTCCAGACCTTAATCCCATAGAAAATCTGTGGAGGGAGCTGAAGGTTTGAGTTGCCAAACATCAGCCTCGAAACCTTAATGACTTGGAGAAGATCTGCAAAGAGGAGTGGGACAAAATCCCTCCTGAGATGTGTGCAAACCTGGTGGCCAACTACAAGAAACGTCTGACCTCTGTGATTGCCAACAAGGGTTTTGCCTCCAAGTACTAAGTCATGTTTTGCAGAGGGGTCAAATACTTATTTCCCTCATTAAAATGCAAATCAATTTATAACATTTTTGACATGCGTTTTTCTGGATTTTTTTGTTGTTATTCTGTCTCTCACTGTTCAAATAAACCTACCATTAAAATTATAGACTGATCATGTCTTTGTCAGTGGGCAAACGTACAAAATCAGCAGGGGATCAAATACTTTTTTCCCTCACTGTATATCTCTGTCTGTATGTTTCATTGCCAGGTGAGAAACTACACCAGTGTGATTAAGACCCCTATATGGCTGGACAGGGTTGTGGAGAAGCTGCAGCAGAATCTCTACCAGTCAGTGCAACACTTTGTGTCTGACGTGTTGCTTATCTTCACCAACTATGCCACATTTAACAGGGTAAGACTGCACTACTGCAGTATCCAATGTGAAGACTCAGGGCTAACATTTTAAAAATAAATCTTGGAATTATGCTAGTCAACTTTACTTGTGCTAATGCATGAATAACACTTTAAAAATGTGCCTTTGTTTAATCCATAACAAAAGATGAATTACACTAAATGTGGTGTGTTTATTGCATTTCTAGCTTGTTTATTATGTTTTCTATACAATTGTCTCTTTTTTTTCTGAAGGATAATGCAGATTCGTGGTATGGGCAAAAGATTGAAGTATCTATTTGAGAGCGAGTTCAAGAGTACATTCAGCATCCAACTTCAGCATCCAACTGCATCCAACAGCCAGTAGAGCCTTCATCAAGTCTGTACTGTTATCTCACTATGAGACAACCGGGATTATTCACCATGCCCTGGTTTTTGTATACAGCATTCATACAGACTTGTACACCAAGTTGTACAAATCTTATTTTCCATGCATGTGCATTGTTCACTGTCATCTATCTAGTCATTTCATTCATTCCTTTCATTCGTTCTATCAGTCAAAAATGGGTGTGTGATAACCATTGAAATAGAATTGTGGTCTTAACGTTGCATTTCATACAGTGAATGTCACTCTCCTAATTTCTCATGCAAGTCATTACCTTCCAGGCCTCTAGACTTCTTACTTCTGGTTAGGCTTTACTGGATTTATGTCCAGGGATTCTCCACAGAGTTGGATTCTCTGAGACCTCCACTGTCCAGTGGTGCTGAACCATCGGAGTTACGATGGTTCCGATTTCGCCATTGTCCACTTAGAGAGATTTTGTTAACAAATTGTAAAAATATATATTTTTTCATGATGCCTAAAAGCAGAAATGTTCATGTGATATTGCTGTGTAAAAAAGCATTGTATTTGAATATATTAATTATATGAAATATTAAATTATATATTTATTTTAAGACAAAATACACAGAATGTGTACGAGCTAGCGAAATCCTATTGGCGCGTTCTAGCATCATCTGCATATTTCAGTTAGGGAGCGCATACTATGTGAAGTGCGCCTTTGCAATTACTCAATTCGCCTTTGCACTCCTAAACAACGCGATTTTTAAAGTAAAGTCTACAAACCTTAGTCCACTATGATCATAACATATTCTAGTTTTGGGAACAGAAAACTGTATTGAGATCAAATGTTTCATCGATGAGAACATTTGCAGAATGTCGGCCAAAATCCATCTCGTTCCATCTTCTCCCACTGCCCGCCAGTGAGCTTCCTCTCAGTACCATATTTGGTAGTGAGTGGCAACGCCAAGCGGATGCTTCACATTTAAACATCCAGTTAAATATTTGTCTTATTGTTCTATGTGTGATGTCACCTGCATATTGTTTTTTAAATCAGCTTTTTACGTGCGTTTTTGAGATTTGCTGTCGAAAATAAACCAAATATTTTCTAAAACATTGTACAACATACTGTAGGTCTACTTGTTTGACTACAGCAGCACCTCTTTAGGGCAGTTTGGGAAGCGTCTGCGTTGCGTCTCTGCACTCGTGCAGGGCCTGCGCACGCTGTTACACGTCAGCACAATTGCCAGCAGCGAATCCCTGCCCAGAGCTGCGCAGCAGCGTTGCGCAGACCTGCTTGGTAAAAATCGCAGCCATTTCTCTTCATCTTGTTGTAAAGCCACAGGTCCGAGAATGCAAATATTATAATAGTGGCTGATGTTGGAGTTTATAGGCGAATTTCTTTATATCTAATTGAAAGACTTAAACTTTTTCCTTCTCATGAGCATTGAGAGAAACAGCCACATAGGCAGCCTATTTAGACGGAGTCGAGCGATTCCATAGCCAAGAAAGTGCGGTTGGTAGACGCGGTAATGTCATTGAATATCACTGTGAAAAGTGAAGACTCTGAGTCCTTTGACGAAGAAGACGAATCATCTTCGCTGCTTTCAGGCAAAAGAGGCTCCGAGTCTGCAGCTCGTCATGATATTTCTCCGGGAGAAGGCGGTCCAATAGAAGACCATGCAGGGTATTCAACACAGCATGGGCGGCTAGCAACTAAAACGACCAGCAAACCAATCGTACTGTGTAAGTTGTTGGTACTGTATAATCCGACAGAGGTAGCATATTTTTCAGTCTTGTCTCATAGGAACTTTCACTTTTACTTTAGAAATACTATTAGATAATAGGCAGAATCTACCGCACACCCAGAGCAGAGTAGTGAAGGTACTGGACGAAACAGGAAAAAGTCTCTGCACACTTTAGAAATATTAGTACAATCTACAATGAAAGATTAGAATTGTATTGACATTATGAGCTATCGCAAAATACTAAACTGTATTTGACTGTTTTGCATGTGACACCTGCCTCTTTCTTTCTCTCCACTAGATCCTGTGAGTGCTGACCGTTTCTTTTCCTCTACTTCTGCAGATGGCAAAACCATCTTAAAGATTGCTCCAGGTGAGTCCTATTTGTCCCATTAAAGAGACACCTTCCTATATTTCCTGGTCTAAGCACGTACTGTAGATGTACCATTTATCTGCAGCACCCAGAACCAAATCTCACGTGCATGCTGGCTAGCTGGTCGTTAACATTTGAATGGTTAAGTCTGTCATGAGAGAGAGGATTTACATTTTGGTAATTTAGCAGATGTTCTTATCCAGAGCAACTTACAGTACTTATTAAACATCCCTCTTCTCCTCAGCCCCAGTCATGACCCGGCCGACTCCTCAGCCTCCTCCCCAGGTGTCCCCAGAGTTCTCCTACCAGGCTATCGTGTACCTGATTGAAGCAGTGGGGCGCCGCTGGAGCCTGTATGGGACGCGGGAGCGCTCGCAGCTCTTCCAGAGCGTGCAGAAGGAGCTGGAGGAGCAGGGTCACTGTCTGCCCGTTGAGAAGATCCGCCGCAAGTGGAACAACTTGATCGTCACCTATAAGAGGGTCAAATACAGAGGCAGGGAGACCGGCCAGGCCAGAACCTCCTGGGAGTACTTTGAGGTACTTGTTTGTTTTATAATAATAGACGTGTGTTGTTTAGCAAGAAAACCGATGTGTGTGCATCTTCTGGGCAAAACAGACAGGGTTGGCTTAGAATCAGGATTATTGAAACTAAATTTAGTCTCCAAATGTTTATTGAAAACATACATACATTTGCACAATAAGCACTTTTTGTCTCAAATACATTGTGACAGTTGTTAGTTAGCTAGCTAGTGAAGTTGAGCCATGTCATAGATGTGGTATAAGTCAAAACACCTTAAAACAAGACATGGTATCAAGAACAAGATACAGTTAACTGAAACAAGCCACCTACGATTCCCCACATGGCAGTTTCTTGTCATTGTTGCTAGCTGGCTGTTCAGGATCACAGCAACACACAGCCTTCTACTCCTGCGTTGCTCACGCATCATTTTTGTGACGTCAGGAAACGTTCTATTCATTTTGTTGAAAATGTTGTTCTTGTGGTCATAGCTGTCTTCTAGTGAATGCTCATAAATTCTAGTGGCATTGGGGGTGTACTATGAAAGTAAGAAACAAGATTGTTATAAGCTGCCCAAGGGTGTTGACACCCTGTCTCTTTCTGTCTCTCTCTTTCTCTCACATAAGATGATGGATGCCATGCTTGGTGACACCATCGGTGCCGAGACCACTAGCAGCCCTACCCTAGTAACCAGCATCCCTAAGGTGAATGTCGCCACGGAAACCGCCAAAACAGAGCAGAAGCCCCTCCTCCTTCCCCATGGCAACCTCATCACTACCTGCACTCGGACGCTCACCCTTGTCCCCTCCTCCCTCCCACTCCACACGCCAGTTCCCTCCACCCTCCCTCTCTACACCTTTGTCAGATCCCTACCTCCCCCCACCCCCGTCCGCTCCTCCCTCCCTCTCCCCACCCCCTTGGACACGCCCTCCCCCAGGATAGCTAATAACACAGACCCTCTACAGCCAAACCCCTCCCCTGCTCCGGCCGCACAGCCCGCTGCCTCCTGTCACATCCCCTCCAACCTCAGCCGCGTGCACCTTAGCAGAAAGAAGCGCCGTCGCTTCTCCTCCTCCTCCTCCAAGGGCTCCTCCATTACCTCCCTCCTGGCCCAGCAGCAGAAGCGAGCAGAAGAAGGCACCTCCCTGCTGCAGGTGTTCCTGAGGAGGCAGGCGGGGCAGGCCAAGGAGGAGCAGGTGCGTCGCAGCAGAGCGGAGGCCCGGGGGAGGAGGCGCGAGAGGAGGGAGGCGCGCATGGCAGAGTCCCTGGGTAGGATGGCCACGGCTCTGGAGCTGCTCTCCTCCAAACAGGACACAGTCATTGCCCTGCTGCAGAGACTGGCCGAGAGAGACAGGAAGTGACAGCCATCACCCTGCTGCAGGGTTGTCACTAGCTTCTATAGCCACAAAGCCATTATTAAAATTAGATTTGAAACCTAACATTAACCTTATGCCTAACCCTAACCCTAACCTTAAATTAAGGACAAAAAGCTTATTTATGTTTTCATGAATTTTGACTTTGTGGCTATATAATCTAGTGGAAACCCTGTTGCAGAGACTAGCTGAAGTGACACTGTAATCACCCTACTGCAGAGACTGGCCGAGAGAGACGGGGAGGCTGACTCAGCATGCGACCGAAGTGTCACTCTTTTTCCCTATATATTGCACTACTTATGAGCTAAAACACAGTAAAACCCACCTGGTGTCCCAGGTCTAAATCGGTCCCTGATGAAAATTAGCTGTGGAACTGGGTTCGAGGTCCATATTTGAATTTGCCTAATGTAAGGAATAGGGTGTCATTTCGGACGCAGACTCAGATCATGTTAATTGATTGTGTTGTAGAATTTACAATGGAATAACAATTTTGATTGTTTAAATGGTTTATTAATTAATGATTGATCATGATAATCAAAGTAATTTACAATAACAGCATTTGGTTGCAGCATTTATTGTTGGAGAAACCGGTGTGGCGAGTGGAAACCACCATTTAGGCCTACACGGATGGATAAGGATGGTGAAATAGTAGGTGAAACTTGTTCTCACTACTCTGGCATCTGGTCCAACCAGTAACTCCCAAAACACACACGGTCATCTCAACTGTTTGATTGTCAGGGCCTATGCATGAGGCCGATTCAGACTGAGGCATGTGCAGACACTGAGGCAGGCTAACAACCTTAGAGAACAGCACCTGTAGCTACAGTAAGTGAATTGTTTGACAAAGATTATCTTAAATGATAGCAATGTTTACTAAATGGGTTTTCATAGTGTTGCCGGCTTGTAAAAACAAACAAAAAAACATACTGTATAGTCAAGGTGCGTAAATCAAATCATTGAGGATGACACAAAAAAAAGTATTGACTTATTTCCATCGTGGATCTCTAAACTATAGGTGCGACCAGTACCTCAGTGATTGAGAGGGATCTCCTAGAAGAGGCACAGCGGTCAACATGAGACAGACTGAAGGAACTGATCCACTCTGAGGGGGTGGGGATATCAGATAACCAGATTCTGGTTTCCCCTTTCGCTAAGAAAAACGGGTTGCCTTAACTCAACCAATGGAGACAGAAACAATGGGAGGGTGATTGACAGTTTAGGTGATTCAATCAAAAAGAAAGGATGGGAGATGGAACAGAGAGAGACAGATCGTTCTCCATCCAGGGGAGAAGAAAAGACGAGAAGGACATAAGAGGAGGGAGTAGGTGCTGGAGCATCATGGGACGTCAGAGGGCGTTTGTAAGGGCCATACTGGTAGTAGTGGGTCTGGGAGCTCTCTTTCTCTCTCTTGGAGCATGGTCAGCACTGGGACTGGAAGACATAGAGGAGGAGGGGAGTCCAGGGGAAGCAGAGTCACTGCCACCAGCAAGACAGCTGGACTACCACCTCTGTGTGGAGCTGGTGTTGAGAACCACAGCCAGAGGGGGTGCCATCGGTCTACTGAGAGGAGTAGCAGTCATCTCAGCGGTCTGGATAGCAGAGGTCCTGTCTGGGTCTAATGGCCTGGTCGTATCGGTGCTCCGCGCCCCCTTCTTGGGGCTTCTGATCGGGCTGGGGGTGGGTGCTGCAGATGGGGTGGGCCGGGCGGAGGAGCTCCTGGGGTGTGGTGGGAGGTTGTGGGTAACGGGGTGAGCGGGGCTGGGGTGGGGGCCAGGGTGGCTGCAGTGAGTGGGGTGGCCATCGCGGGTTTGATGAGCATCATGACGGTGAGGGCAGTGAAGAATGTGGCGAGATCAGGATGGCTCAGTTCATTATTGTATCAGTGGCTGTGGGGGCTGCTAGGATGGTGCTGTGTTTGGCTCCTGGGTGCATGGCCACAGGAGCCTTGGTAGTATCCATCCTAGGGACCGGGAGGGACCTCCACACCTTGGGGGCCCTAGTGGTGCTGGGGTTGGGTGTGTGGGGAAAGG